AATGCCTCTTGTTTCTGAAGCGTGAATGGAAGAAGCAGGGAGTCCTGGGTGAGCTGTTGATGCACATAGAGCGTGCATTACATTCCCTCTGAGACTTGGAAGGAAATCACAACAGTAAGTCCACCTCTTTCAATTTGCAGACTTTCTACAACATCTCTGTTCTTTCCTCTTGCTCCCTCATTTTCATTTTTTATTAATTACCCACTCACAATTTTCCCAGAGGACTCTATTTTCCATTAATTATTAGGAGGACTACAGGGGGAACGTCAAGCTGTTGGAAAGCTCCCTTTGAGAACATCGGGTGGGAGCATTTTTTGATGCCTACATGTGTATCTTTTTGACCTTTCTCCTTGTACTGGAAGCTAAATGACCTGCCTGGGCTGCAGAAGACATTTTTTGTTACAGCAGAGCATGCTGAGTAAGGAAACTTTATTTAAGTGCTGGATTGTTGGCCCTGGAGACTAACATTCTGCTTGCCCAGAACTGATCGGCATGCTCTGAGCATGATTTATTATCATGTACCACATATGGGACAATTCACAGACAGAAACGAGTGCCAGTGCAGGACTGTGCTGCACTTGCATCTCTGTTTCCTATTGCTGAAGATGTGGATATGTCAAGAGAAGGAGTAATGCTGGCCTGAAATTTCAGGTCCAGATGGTGACCGTTCCCAACACAGATGAATAATGAAGGTGGAAGAAGAGCATCTGCTCTCCTCTCCTCTTGAAGCCATGGCTTTAATCTTATCTTCTGTACTCCCCATAGGTCTACTGAGATTCATGGGGATTTCTTGAAGGAAACAGTCAGGGAGCTCATGTTAACATTGAAAGGCTCCTTGGTTTAGCATCCCTGTTTGAGCACTGCTGGCATTCAATGCCTAGTTGAAAGCACGGAAGCTATTAGTTTGATGATCTTGATATGTGGATCTCTTTCTGCATGTTATTGTAGGTTACTTGCAGATGTGTCTCAAACATCTTGGTGTTTAAGTACTTCTGTGTAATTAGAAAAGCGCCCTCCATCCATGGCCTGCTCTTTGGAACAAGCCAAGAAGACCCAGGAATTCCTCCAGAAAATCCTGACCAGGCTTGCTGGGAATTGCGTATGCTGGCATATGTGGCATGAATTCGGTGGGTTTCTAGGCCTTTACCTAAGGATCTTAAGCTGTGTTAATGGGTGCCCTCACATGCTAAACCTCATTCTCCAGACCCTGCTTGACTTTCTGCACAGGACAGCAGTGCTTAAACCTGTTAGAAGTGCATTCATAATTATCCCTCCTGAAAGGCTCTGTTCAGGTGTTGCACGGCGGTAGCACTTTATAACACGTCAACTCCCCTGCTGGTTTACAACATCGTTTCTATGGTTACACACCACCCTCTGTAACCCACAGAGTCCATAAAGAGACAGGATTGCATTTCACAGAGACAGGAGCTGTCATGTACAGAGACTGGCTTAATATCTGATGAAGAGTGAAGCGCTAACCCATGGTCAGGCCCTGGTTGTGAGGCCGCTGCCCTAGGAGCTGCTTTTTCTGTTGGAAAGTGCCAGAGGTCAGAGTGGACAAAGGTGGGAGATCTTGTCAAACCTCGGGTAATTGTCATGCTGCTTCCCACAGCTCAATTTCCCACCTTCACGTCAGCAACAAACTTATGTTTGCCAACTGTTGGAATTCATTGTAAGGGTGGGACTGGGAGAAGTGACTATGGCCATACGAGATTTTTTGCGGAGAAACAGCCCGGAACGGCTAACGTGGAACTATTTGGCCCATAGAGAAAGCCAAAAGTTTTCTGGAAGGAGGCTGCCAACACAATACATCATTGGACTTGGCCCCAAACAGTTTGTCTTTCTGGAATAGTAGGTTGAATGCATTTCTATTTGAAATTTTGGGGTGGCTTGTTTTAAGATGACTGGAGGGAGAAAAAGGAGGTTCTGACAGATTTTTTGAGGAAGGATCAAGGATTTGGTTTGGAAAATATGACCAGTATGGAGAATGAAATTTTATGGGAATAATTATTTAGCAGAACACTTTATAGTGCTTTGCTGTCTGTCTAGTTGGACCTGACTGTACTCAGAAATCAGGTACTGTAATTTGATATTTGCTTGCTGCAAAACCTGTCAACTGTTTGTAGGTACAAGAACAGTATCCAAAATAGTTGAGACAGCCTACAAAAAGAAAAGGTTTGGAAGCCATCAAGGTGAAGCAGATTAAAACTTTATTTCCCTGGGGAGAAATTTGATTTTTTTTTTTGTCAAAATAATTAAAAAAACCCCCAAGCTCTCTTCACCAAAAAAGAAATCAACTGAAACTGTAAAGGTTTCAGGGAACACCTTCCTGCCAAAACTATATCAGAAATTAACAATTTTGACAAATTATTTTCAGCCAGTGCTATGTAGAGTACAGAAAAGGTCTGTGAGGTTGCCAGTAGGTGATAAATTAGAGATCAGTTTGAAATAGTATATTGCTGCAACTAAAATCATATGCCTCCATGGAGGCAAATTATGCTGTGGGAAGGAAATAGCCCTTCCCTAAATGGTTCTGATTTGTCCTCAAAACAAACCATGTGCTTAGTCCCGGCCACAATGTGACCAGATGATGAAACCTGGGAGGAAGCTAAAAGAAGAGCGACCAGACCACCCTGTCTGCCTTCTGATCACTAAATGATCGGACGTTTGGAAAAACTGATTTATGTGGGAAGCCTCAAACTGCTAAACGAGGCTATGAGATGACAACGTGTACTTCTGTGTGTGTGCGTGCGGAAAAAAAGCCTAAAAATATCTGAAGGGTGTAAACATGAAGGAGAGAGTTACGGTATCAAAGGGACAGTGCGCAGTACAGGGTTCAGAGCTGGCAGGTTTCCTCACTGTTTGGAGCAGTGGATTGGAGATAACTGAGAGGCAGAGAAGCGTTATCCTGACTATATTTCACTTAAGCCTGTTCCTCTGTGACTTGATTTGTCACGCCCTACTCCTGCCCGTGACAGAAATCAGAAGCTGCCTCTCTAAAATACTACCTGGAAATAAAGTAAGGCAACAAAATAGTTTCCCTTCCTCTTAATTGTGGTAACCTCCTATGCCATGGGACAAACTCAAGCCCATTGAAAGCAAAAGGACTTTTCCCGCAGGGCTGTAAAACCAGCTCTTACCCGCCAAGTGTCATTTGTCCTTGTAGGTGCTCTCTTCCTTCTCAAGTAATAAGACACCATATGGATCATCATTACCAGACCCCAAGACTATAAAGAAATTGTTATATATTTTCTATAGCGCTCTCTAGATATATGGCTGGATTCTCAGCTGATGGGAAGCAATACTGATTCATGGCAGCTGAAGAAACAGCCTCTTGTGTTTTGTCTTGTCTTCTCATCTCACTGAACTTTCCAAGGATCTAAATAAATGTAAGGGAAATGTGACCTTGCTCAGTGAATTGTTTTGGGGACTAATGTGCTGAGCGATTTATGGACAAAGAGGTTTTTTCTTTAACAAAAAGTGCTTTCATTCAGCAGCTTTGATGGAAAGCCTATGAGGACCCATGATAAGTATGTAACTGGAACAGACTCATATTAGATATCACTGTTACAAATCTATTAGTCCCACACATTAGAGCATGTGCTGGACCTGATGAGCTACACTAGTGGGAACATGAGTCATTTTCTGAAATAGATGTAGCTTGCAAATCTTCTAGACTGTTATCCAATTCCTTTTCTTTCAGTTTAATTAGGATATAAAACATGGCCTTAAGAGCTTACAAGAGTGGAAGGAACTCCATGTAAAGAATAGGGAGCCAGCTGTGAGCATTTCCCAGCTGCTCTGCTACTGAGCTGACTGGCTTTTGCCCGCAACGTGGCTTTGCTGTCCCCCCCAGGGAGTGATGGAGACAACATCTCTTTTAACATTGCAGGAGGACGGAGAGTCCCTTGCTCACGTGAGGCTGGTGGGCACAAGGCAGACTGGCCCTGGACTTCTCCACACCCTTGTCAGGTGCCACCACCACACGCTGGGAAATGTTGCGTTTTCCTCCCAGTCAGCAGAACTGTTCACGCTGATTGGGTGCATGGCAGCCGGCTGGGGCTTAGCCAGGGACCATGAACTCTCCTGAAATGCAGAGGGGTCTGCCAAAAGCTCCCTCGCAGGGTAACACAATGACAGCAGGGAGCAGCAACGAGACAAATCAGATTGCAGTTCTTTTCCAACCGCAAATGCAAAGCACCTCTAATGAGCACAGACGAGCCCCTGAGATCTGTGATGCTGCTGATGAATTAATATAAAATCAAACCATACACTTTAAAGACAAGAGCATCCAGCCCTTCTCATAACTGATGCAGGACATGTTTCATCCAGAGCAGATCTGCTATCATTGGAGCTCATTCTGTTCTTGAATTCATCTGTTCTGTACGTTTGAGGACTGGCATGATTAGCATTTGGCTTTGGAGAATTCAGAACCTAATTCCTATGAGTTTTCATGTCTTCTTTTTTCTTGTTTTGATTCTTGTTTGTCCGTTTGTTAGTTTGTTTGGCAACATATTTCCTGTTTGAAATAAAAATACCAGAGAGAGAGATGGGCACTTACTTTTTTTCTGGACAGATTCCTTTGGATAATGATTTATTTCTTTTTTTAAAGAAGGACACCTGGTTTCCTTATAAGTGAGTGTTGGCAGACTGGGGAGGTGGAGGGGGGACGGGGAGGGGAGGAGAAATGCATCTGTTTAGAACAAATGCAACACTGTAGGAAAGCTTTATAATACGATCCAAAATTGGCCTGGTTGCCTGATGCTCTAAACATATGGTAAGATCCTGTATATACTATGCATGAAAACTATCTGCATGCACATGGCAGTCATTCTGCAATGTTTAGATACACTCTGCCAAATCCTGAACTTCTCTGTTCTTATTCAAACACAGCTCCCAATGAAGACAGTGAATCTAAGGCTCACAGCATTCGGGGTGATCTGCCCATCCTCCCTCCTTTTAATCTCAGCTGGATAAGGATTTCTGCATTGTGACCTTAGGTGCCAAATGCCGACCTCTGCTCTGGAGGGTGTGCAAAGTTGCAGCAGGAAGCATGCGATGCTGTGGCAAAGAAGGAAGTCCCCCAGGACAGGGAAAATGCATCATATGCAACGTCGCTTGCAGGCTCTGATGTAATGCTCATATCTACGTGTGTTAGCTCTGGCTCCTGCTAGTAAGTATGTAATAAATGCTAATAAGTACATAATCTATCCTTTTCTAGGATCAGAAAGACAGTTTTCCAGATCCACCTGGGATCTACTAGGATACACAGTAAGAACCTAGCTGAATTTGTAGCAAGCCCTGGGTTTTCCATCCTGCTCTGATAACTGCCTTTCCTTTCTACTTAGCCTTTGTCTGGCTGAGCTATACTCCATAGTGAGAGGAAAGCTGCTGTTCTGGGGGAACTTCATGTCATCTTCGCCCTGCTGGGCCAGCAAGATGTTGGACAATCTGGGCCAGGGAGTACTGTTGCAGCTATTGCATTTCAGGGCTGCTACCAGCACTGTGCCTGGGTGTCATAAGTGAGTAATTGTGGGGGAAAATATATCCTTTTTTTCTAGAAGCTCTTGAAGGGTTAGGAAGGGGAGATAACCAGATGTTAGTCTTATCAAGCAGTCCACTGTCTTCACTATCTCACTCGGGCTCCTTGCTACACTGAAGTGTTTGTCCTTTACTGGATGTCACAGACCAGAGGAGCCAGCTGGCAGCAGGTCTTTTTTCTATGTGTTATTTCTTATGCAGCTTTAAGTGGTGACAATCCCAAAATGCATACAGTGGACTTTTCTGGATCAAGACAAGCAAAGGTGCTTCAAACTGGTCAGCTCCCAATACCACCTGTAGTTGAAACTGAGTTTCTATCACCCAGCAAGAGATCGTTTGTCTGTCAAGATAATCTCTGAAGGCCCTAGGCATCCAGACGTGACATGGAGGGTTTTGTAAGAGTCCCTCCACCGTTAGCTCTGCAACAGAAAATTTCCAGCAGTATGTCATCCTTGGCAGGTGTAATTATGCTTAATACTGTGTCAACACTTTGTAGTTTTGAGGAACCTACTGTCAATCTATCTGATCCATGGCCCCCATATCTTCATTGGAGAGTGTCTGAAACCAGTCAACACTTAAGTTAGCATTAGCAGGAAGCCTGCATGACTTGTAGGCACTTGATTAGAGAGACTATCCTTCCTTTTTTCCTTTTTAATTTTTTTTTTTTAACATTGAACAAGGAGAGGTATTTTTGATGGCTTCAAACTTCCTTTCCTCCTCTGACCAAAATGTTACTGAGAACTTCTGGGCTCTGTCAGGTATTTGGGGAATTCCTGTTCTCTTCTTTCTGTTAATACACTCTGTGGCCCTGCAGAACGGCCACCATAACCCTACACAATTAGACCCCAAAGGACGATTCAAATTCAGATTTAATATTGGGCAAAGAGAAGCCTTTAGATCAAACATCCCCACTACTGGGCAAAGCAAAGTCTCCGAATGTACCATCCTGCAAAGACCATTAGAAGAGCAGAGGATCTAAGGTTTAACACTCACCCAGATGAGTGATGGATGAACTTTGTTTTCCTTAAAAAAAAAAAAAAAAGAACTTTCACATGCTCTTTAGTCCATCCAGAATTTAACAACTGGGCGCTGACTGAGACACAGCTCGACTGGGGAGAGATGAAGGGACAGAGAGGAAGCTTAACACAGCTAGCTCAGACCGAATGCATTTAATGCTGCCTATCTCAGAAGCTTTGAAGAAAAAGCCCTTGTGTCCTCAGTGGTTCTCTATGGCAACTTTTGGCATTACAGTTCACATAAGAGAATTATGAGTTCCCCTTATCAAGTATGGAGATGGGATCCATTGTGCTGATTCCCATGCTGTGGAGATTTAACATTCGCCACGCTTAGTTCTGCAGATATACTGTGATGTGTCCTTTTCAAGCTGCAGCTGACTACACTGAAATCTTGACTGACACCTCTTATCTGATAAGGGCCGTTTTTCTGCTGGCTGCTCTTTAGAGTGATAAATGTCAGGAGTTTGGGAGTTTGCTTGTATCTAGGCACTCCATCTGAGACTTCAGGCAGGTAATTATCCTGAGACTGTGAGACTTTGTCATGAAAGCCACTGCTGTGCTCATATACGGAACTAGTTAGCTCAAGGGTCCAGGATTCGTAGTATCAAGGAACTGAGAAGCATCCACTGCAAGGAGGGAAGGATAAAATTTGAATGAAGATTTTTCCCCAAACAAAAATGAGAGAAAACCTTTTCTGACATGCTGACGTTGTCTGTGTTGATCATCTGGGAAGGCCATGAGTAGGGATTGACCGAGTAGTCTCCAAATTTAAGGTGTCAGTCAACCAAGCAAAGCAGCTAACCCTTGCAGAACAGTGTCACAGCTGGAGTAAAGTGATAAACCTCTTATGTGAGGGAAGCCATAAAGGGAACAGAGATCTATGGCAGTTAGTAGGTTCTAAACAGAAAACTCTCTTCCCCTATAAATCCTTAACACATTTTATCCTGGTGAAAGCTGCAGGGAGGAAAGATCTGGAGAAGTGCAGATTTCTTCCAGCCTTTTCTCTTTCTGTGTCTCACTCTTGCTCTTCTAGGTCCACTCAGTTCTTCACTTCCAACCTGAATCACCTGAATGCTGAAAATAGGATGCACTGTAAGTCGCATGAAATTTTGACCACAACGTTTCTCTTGTCTATTGAATGCTGCTCAGGTGGTAAAATTATTCAGTCACTACTGCTAGTCCGTGCCATCTCCTTCCTGGTGCTCCGAGGGCAGAAAGGTCTCCCACTCATCTTTAGTGGCTGCCTGAGCTCTCCAAGTCTCGTGGGGGGATGTTTTTGACAGGGGGATTAGGCCCAGTCCAGTATCAAGGACTCATGACTCAGGTGACAGGTGGTCAATGTGATTTTAGCCTTCCCCACATCACACTCAGAAAGCATTAGCACTTTTCCAGCATTACCCCAAGGGGGATGTCGATGGCTGAATTAAAGTTCTCTTCCCAGGGGTCCAGCCTCCTAGGCTGGAGGGCAGGTAGGAGACCTCCTTTCCCTAGTGCTGACGAGCTCTGAGAAATTAGGGATGGCAATTTCCTAGGGGAGAGAGAAGGAGGCAGGGGTTGCCTTGCTCATTCTCATGTTTGCCCAGCATGGGGATGTTCCCACTCATCTCCCAGCAGTGAATTCACTGCAGCTGAAATAGCTAAGGCCTCTGACTGGAGTTCATGTTAGCTTCTTTTTCTGCAGAGAGCCCTATGTCAACTTCAATGAGCACCTGGGCTCTCCGGGCACTACAGGAGGAGGTGAGGGACATGCCTTGTGTCCCAGGTTTCAGGGAGAGCTACCAGTCATGGTAGTGATGAGGTGCAAGTGGGAAGAGGCAGAAGAGCTGGAGAGGCTTCCTGGCTCCCACTGATGCCAGCAGCCAGACCCCTGGGCACACGGGCTGGATTGAGGCTCTGCTCACTGTATGGTGGGACCGGTCAGGGCAAGTGGACAGAGCTGCTCCTGCGGCATCCCTCCCCAGCCTGGATCATGCTGAAATGCACCTCTGTCGGGCCCATAAGGCTCTGCTGTGAGTCATGCCTGCGAGTAACACACCCACTGCTGCCAGCCAGACGTCCTGCTGTCCTCCCGTCCTTGTGCAGACACACTGCAGCTGGTGAGTCGGATGCAGTGGGATGCCCTGTGCGCTTATTCCCAAGGCGTTACAGAGCCTGGCTGGGTGGAAAGGGGAAACTGCCTGCCTCTGGAAAGCCTGAAAGCTGGGGCAGGGCTTTTAAGGCGCTCACTGGTGCCCTCGCATTCGGCTCCACATGCCTCCGCCAGCACCACGGCGCCAGCAGCTCCTGCCGGAGCCCAGCTCTGCAAAGCAAGCAGCTCTGCCCCTGTTGAGGCTCAAGGCAAAGAATGGTGGATCCGTGTTCAAACTCCTGAGTCAGTTCATTTAGGAGCTGGAGGGTAACAGTCGCTTCATCTGTTTTTTTCATCTGTGCCTTTGTTTGCTTCCCCCTCCTTTCCCCTTAACATACCCTTTGAGCTGTTCTTTAATTGAAGTAAACACAGCAGCTGCTATGGTGTGTGTTGTTTTTCCCATTTTCCCCTGTGAGTCACACATTTCCTTCCTTAATGTCTCTATCTTCCATCGGTCTGTACTAATGAAGCCCCACATCTCAGCTGCTGAATGCTTAAGTTTGTCTGCCTGGAATTTTCTAATGCATTTAAATTCATTTCCCACTTTCCCTTCTACCAGCCTGCTTCCTTTCTCCCATCCCCATCCCCATCCCCATCCCCATCCCCATCTTACCCTGTCTTTGCCTCCTCCCTCTCCAGAAGCCCTCCTCCTCACAGGTGTCCGAAGAGCCGAGGCGAGCAGAGGGGCTGTGGCTCCCAGTCCTGTGCTGCCACGCACTGGGACGGGGCTGTGCTGAGATGCAGTGCTGTGTGGCCCTTACTGTGACTCCCTGCCCACAGCCCCCTTGCTGCCTGCTGCCCTGCACATCGCCCCTCTCACTCGGCCTCTTTTCTCTTGGCACCAGCGCTCATGGCAATCCACAGAACAGTTTCAAATCCATGTTTAAGTTGTCCCCTCCTGACCCCGTCTAGCCATGGCCTCTGGCAGCAGCCTGTAACACCTTGTGCTTCAGAGCAAACTCGCTTCATCTTCTACCCATGCCCCCACGCACTGGAGACACCAGCTCTGCCCACCTGTGTTCTGTGCAGGCTCACCCTGAGGCCAGTGGGAAAAGCTACCCCTTGCCTATATATCCCACATGGGTTTCAACCCAAAGTGCATAGTTAGGAGCAAGCAAGGGCACTGGCAAATGCCAGTACCTCCACTCCTTTTTATTTTGCTTAAGCAGCTCATTCTTTCTGGAGCCTTAGCTGCTCCAGGATAAGGCTAGTAGTGCAGGGTGTGCAAGATTTGCTTGTGTGTCCTGCATCCCAGGGAGGTGTGAGGCACAGGGAGGTGACGACGTGAACCAGGATGCTCTGCCCCTGACAACGCAAAGTATATCGGGTTGCACCACTGCTTAGTGATCTCCTTTTCTGGATCAAACCCCTTTGTGAATATTTACCACTCAGGAGCATCAGCACTAGTCCTGTTTTTTTCTTCATTATCATTGTTTCTTTGTGGGTATTGGTGGAAACTTCCTATCCCTCTTCTGACCCTAAGCTCCTGCTGATCTCTGTTGCTTTTATATCCTTATTGCTGCTGAAGACAGGCAGTGCTGGTCCTTATCTTTAAGAGCTGGAGAACTGAGGCACAAAGAAGCAACGATCGAATTTGAAAGTTAGGCTCAGCACACATCACCTATGATGTATCAGCAGCCTCTCCCCTAGAGGACCCTGGGACAAATCAGCACTGCAATCCCAGTCATGGCCCTCAGCAGTGTCAAGGAAGCTGAAGAGACTCCTAGGAGTCTATTTTGATAGCAGTCTTCATGGAAAGCTGCATTATCACAATTGAATGTGATCCCTTCTTGGCTTCTACTCCTTTTGCTCTTCCACCCTGTACAATTGGTTCTTAGTTTTAGGAATAAGCAGAGCTGAACGCCTCATGTTCAGCTCCGGGGATCTGAACCCAGACCTTGAGTTTTGCAGTTAATTCCATCCTTACCACTGAAGATCTGATTCTTCCAACAGAAGAGCAGGGTTAAGATCATTTTGGAACCATAATAGAACAAATAAATGCAAATACTTGCAAGAAGGAAAAATCACCTTGATGGAGACACTGGCTTGCATGCCCCTGGAGAACCAGTGGAAGAAGCTAGAGTTATGAGCACTGGATGGCTCATAACCATCGAGAGGAATTCTGCTCTCGATTTGAATTTTGTTATGCTTCTTTCGTTAGAAAATGAAGGTTTAAAGGGGGGAAAAAAAAATAAAACAAAACACGCCAGTGCTTTCCTCTTTGACTTCAGGGCCTCCTGTTGAGGTTCCCTCATCACCATAGAGATAATATTGCTTGTTAGGCCTGAGACTAGCAGTTGGAATTCAAGTGGACAAAAAGACCTAAACAAACCCATTATAAATCCCCAATTACTTTCAAACTGTCAGGCTTATTAAAAAATGTAAATACCCTCCTCATTCTGGCAGAGACTGTATAAAAATGCATGAGGATAAAAGTCAGGAGCTGAAAAGAGTTGGTTTCTGAAACAACTTTGCTGGGAAAATGGCAGAAGTCGCTCCCAGATTGCAAAGGGCAGGAGACAGTACACTATTGGAACTTACCCTCCTTTTTACCTTACAGGACCTGGTTTTTAACTGTTTCTAAACCAGCTCAGACCTCAGTGTTGGTACATTTTTTCTTTTCAGGCTTTTATACCTCCTGTCTGAGAGGCCAAATCCTGACTGAGGTTGGAGCCTCTGTTTCTGCAGGGCAGGTTTGATCACAGACACTGGCCGCTGTTCTCTGACCTGTTCCTTTTCCTGTGGATGGAGGGAGGATGACCATCTCTAGGCCTGCCAGCCAAGTACATCTCCTCTGTCTGACTTCATGGAAAAATAATCTTCTCTGGAAATACCTCATTTAAAATTTGTCCCAAGTGTCAGCTTGTGTCTGGATTGAGCTGTTTAATGAGGGTTTGAAGGAAGTTGAAATGATCAGCTGACCACTCTTCAAATGAACATCAAAGGTAGGGCTTCTTCTGCTCCCCTCCCGGGGCTCTGTTTTCTAATTAGTCTTTCTTCTGCTAAAACCAGCAGCTGAAATCATCTTCCAAGGCTCAGGGCTGCAAGCAAGTGGGCTGTGGTTCCCGGCATCTTCAGGGATTTACTGCCTCAGCCTCTGGTCTCTCTCATTCTTGTGTTGGCATGTCGCCAGCGCTACCGTACCGTACTAGGCCATTGATTTGAATACATCTTTCAGGCTGATTATCAGCTCTTTCTGAGAGACAGGTACGCTGTTCCAGTGGGGGGAACACTGGAATGAATTTCCGTCAGCTGGCACCACAAGTCAGCTTCCAACTGCAGGCAGCTGAACAAGCGCTGCGCTTTTCAATATTTACTGCTCATCTCATTGGAACTGTTCTTCTATTAATATTTATTTTCTGCTTTTCCCTCCTCTCCCTCTTCCTCAAACGGAACGAGTTCTCTCGTTCTCAGGTCTGGTCTTGCTCCATCTGCACAGGAGTTTCTCTTGTGAGTCTCTCCTCAACGCAACACAATAACACCTCCTTTCCTTTCTCACCATGACCATACCTGGATTCAGTAAACTCTGGCTCCAGAGCCTGGGATTTCCCAAACATGCAGCGGAGCTGGTACTACCCCTGCAAGTTGGTCAGGTTATTTCTGGGAGGAACCAGATGTCCTTTGATTTTCTTCAACATGAATCATACTGAGGTCCTCCTTTCCCCCTGCTATCCCATTCACAGCTACCCATGCCAGGCCTTAGGAAGGGACTTTGTCAAATAAGGGAAACTTGGCCTTTAGTGTGTTGGTATCTAGCAGACTTAGCTGTGGTCATTCTGGTGGTAGGAAGGGGCCAGTGCCGCCTAAAAACAAGAGAAAAGCAATAGTCCTCATTCCACTGGCCTCACAGCCAAAGATCTGGAATCTAAGATAAGACGAAAACGACTCTTGGAGAGCCCTGAAAGGCAAGATGGTGTGCCATGGGTGCTAGGAGGTTTGTTATACCCTATAGCAAAAAATATTTTGTTTGTTCATCTCTCAGGCTAAGGTTTTGAAAAGGTCTTGGAAAGAAAGGACCTTCCTTGTCTGGCCTCTTGTATAGCACATTTCATGCAGTTGCCTGAGTTTGGAGCCCAAAAGCTTTCTTTTTTTGCTATTAACTTGGAACACTTCAAGTCATGCACCCATGATGATGACAGTGCTCAAGCCATAGGCACAAATTGCCTTATCCAAAGAGACTGCAGTCTAATAAAAGGTGAGAGAGAACATGTAGGTGGATGCTAGACAGCAACAAGACAATATTGGCACAAGATGCAGTGGTCCAGCACATCAGCAACTTCTCTGTGGCCCAGATTTGGTAGGCAACATAGCAGAGGAGGCAGCAAGAAAGGGTCTGAAATCAGAATAATGAAGTAGGATGCACGGGCAGTAGAGTGGATGGGTTGTGGTATAAACTACGGCACTGGCACAGCACTGGTGGTTGGAGCAGGGGAAGGAAGGGCAGACCTTGCAGGGTAGGACCTCAGAGGTGTATGCAATAAAGGAGGAACAACGTAGCTGTTTAATCAAGGAAAACTGAAGTGGTGATTTGAAAAAAAAAAGCATAGCTCTAATCAGTCATCAGCAGGTATTGGTTTAACATGCTGCTATCCTAAGAATCTCACTGGAAACTTAACAGGGACACAGACTGCTGAACCTGGGATATCTGCTTTTTTGCTCTGGAAGACCTGACGGC